AGAATATCCTTTTACCCAAATTCATCAATCAATCAAATTTACCTGTTAACCCGTCCAGGATTTTCTCATTTCAGTTCAATGTTTTAACAATGAAGCAGCCTGATGTTATAGTAACAAACTGAGGGTAGAGCTGGTTTGTCCAACCTTATCCCAACAGCGGGCTACAGGGATACATGTCAATGTTTCTCTCAACTCAGGGACCAGTGAGAAAAGGCACCATTCCACTGACTGTATCTATCACTTCAATTTGTAAATAATTAAAATGTTCATTAAGAAGTGCCAAGCAGCAGAATGAGTTGTATTGTTGTTTGTCTTTGTGTTGTAGAAGCTGAGAAGCAGATAGACAGACTTGGCCCCAAGTTGTCATCCTCAGAGAAGAGGAGAGGAATCGGGCTGAGTTCAGGAGTTGGGTATAAGTTACTCTGTCCTTGCTTCCACCTCTTGGTCATCCACTCCAACCTGGCCTCGATACAATTCATCTCTCTCCCTTGCTCCCTCTCCCTCCATATCACATTCACACTGTCCCCTTCCCGTTTTGCCTCCTGCTCATATCTCAAGGGCAGTATCGATCGAACAAAACTGCTCTGTATCTCCAAAGACATTCTTTGAAAAACAAAACAACGGTGCAACCTGAGATGCCTTCTGCAAAAAAAAATCTACCGCTTATGTAGTGATGTGAGAAGGCCACCAGACGGTGATATTGTAGCATTTTAAACACGAAAGGAGACAGAGAGAGACAGTTGACTCATCAGTTTTTAATTCATTCATTCATTCAAATTTCTCTCCTGTGAGTCTCATTGCAGGCAGATACAGACACACAGATACAAACACACACACGGACACATATGGAAACATACATCAACATGACCAATGTATCACTGTAAACACAAGGGTCAGACAGAAAGGGGGGAAGGGTATAACTCCATTTCAATGGATTTGCCTCCAAAACAACAAACCCCACAGCACAGACATACTAATACACACGCTCATGTACACTAGCTTACACACAAACAGACACACACAGCTACACATACATAGGTAGTTCAACAGAGATACAAACACACACAGTTACAGCGACACACACGCATAAGTACATACAGACATTGAAACACACATACAGAGACAGAAACATAAACACAGAAACATATATGCTTATGTACAGATACTAACACACACATACATACAGAAACACAGCACACCCATACAGACTGTGTGCAGTAGCTGACACTGCCCTGAGTTTAACCATCTTTAACACAGTTTGTGTCAATCAGATAATTCCCAGCTTTTACTGACGAAATATCAATGGGAAAGTGGGACAATACTGTGATGTCCCTCGCTCTATTGTCAGGAAAGAGGTGAATGTGTTTAATAAACTCATAATTATTTGTACAATGAACAAACTTCCACTCGTACAACAGATCCAAGTAATCCCCTGATGTTCATCTGTGAAACGGATTGATGTTCATTCTCAGAAACTAATTAAAAGGAAACTCCCTGTCTTTAATGGTTACCTAGTCCCACTCACACCTTGTGTTAGTCTGTGTGAAAATACTGTGCTCACCTGTGGGAAAAAATTGTGTTCCTGGCTGCAGAAGGTTCTGTTCCCTTGTCTGGATAAAAGTGTTTTATAGCCGTTTGAAACTGCAGCTTTGTCTCTGTGTGGATTTTAGGTCTGGGGCCAATTTGTGTGTGTGTGAGAGAAAGTTTGTGTAAGTGTGTGTGGGGGAGCAAGGAAGGAACAATCAGGAGACACTGGACTTAACTTTTGGGTTGCTGCTTTCTCTAACCCATCATCCCACAGCCCCCACCCCCCAGCCCACCTCCGGCCTCTAACCTCACGAAGAAGCTTCTTGGTTTGCTCCATATCTGGAGGATGTGTGTTCCAGGTAGAGACAGCTGGGAACTGACTGGATAGCTGGGATTTGGGAGGAGAGAGCGGTTTGAATGACAGAACTTGCGGTTTATAAAACTGGTCTTGGCAGCCATACTTCCTTTCTTCATGTGGATGAAGCCAGGAGGTGGGTGTCAGAGTTATTCTGGCTGTCTGTGTCTGTGTGAAAGACAAGTGTGGGTACAGCTGGAATCGCAATGCTAGTTTTAGACCTGTACCACCCTCTTCCTGAAGCAGCCCTGGTGAGCAGACTCAGTACCTTTCCTGAACTCCTGGCTGTCTCTCACTGACTTCTCCTCTTGTCTCTGTTTTCTTGCTTTGTGTCTCTGTCTTTCGCTCTAAGTCTCTCCTTTTGTCTCTCGTTTCTCTCTCCCTCTTGTGTCACTGTCTCTCACACTCAACTCTTGTCTCTCTTTGTTTCATTCTCTCTCTGTCTTCTCCCTTTGTGTCTCTGTCTCTTTCTCTCAAAGTGTCTCCTCTTGTCGCCCTTTTGGTCTTTCTCTCACCTGTGTCTCTGTCTCTCACACAGTCAACTTCTGTAAAATTTTGTTTCATTCTCTCTCTCTCTCACTAACAACCGCTCTTTGCCCCCTACCCCTCTCCTTTTGTTCCTTCCCCCATCATTCTCTCTCTGTCTTTTCCCTCCATATTTCTCTTTCCTTTCCCTTCATCTTTCTCCCTTCCTTCCATCTTGTTCTCCCTCTCCTTTCCCTCCACCTTTCTCTCTCTATCTCCTTTCCCTCCATCTCTTTCTCTATTTCATCTCCCAGTGTCTCATCTCATTGCCTCTTTCTTTCCTGCCTCGCTCCCAAAATTTTCTTTCCATACAAAATTGCCAAATTCCATCCCCACCCCAAATATGAATGTCCCCGCAAATTTGACCCTAGAATTTTGTCATTCAATTTGAGACTCCGTATACCCACCTCATTTCACACTCTCTTCTCCCTTCATTTTCTGCCTCCAATATTTCCATCAAGTTTCGCTGCTGCCCAGTTTTGTTCCTCTCTTTAACACCCCCCACAAGAGGTGTGTCCCCAATTTTGTCACACCCTTACAGCATTGTACCCTGAAATCCCAAAATCTTGTGCTGCCGAAAACATTGTTGCCCCTGCCAGATATTGCACTCCCCCTACAAAAATATTTTGATGCCCTACCCACCAAATATTGTCCCTTCAATTATTGCATTTCCCAATTTCTGTTCTCCAAAAGTTTGCTCTCCATCCCAACGTTGCAACCTCCCCACTTTACGTGATCTCAAATATTGCCCCCCACAAATTTTTGCACCAATTTAAATATTTCCCCCCGACTTTTACCCCATATTTTATCCCAACAAAAATTTTCAGCCTCACAGTTTCTGATAGCTCCCCGGGCAGCATCACCCTCTTTCTTCGTTCCTCTGTGATCCCTCCACTATATATAGATACCCCACTGTATGTACCCCCATGAGCAACACCCAAACCGCCCCCCTCACCCTCACTGGATCCCTGACCCCACCCCAGGGGCTGGAGGCCCCAGGGAGTATGGCCAGAGACACTCAGGCCTGTTCACTGACTGCCTCACTGCACAGCAAGATCCCAGTCCCCAGGCAGGCCCCCTTCCCCCCTCACCGAGAAAGATGTTTTATCTCAGAACCCGTTCCACCTTTCACTTTAGACAAAGCACGATAGTGCAAAATGCAGGTGGATGAAGGACCAGGAAGATCCTCTGGCATTTCCCGTAAAGAGACATTGAAGGACAGAGAGGGTGATGGAGAGACAGAATCCAAGCGGAAAATGGAGGGATAGATGGATGGAGAAGAGGAGAACGGACATAGGAAGATACAGAAGGAGAGAAAGAGAAACAGTCAGGAAGAGAGGCAGAAATCCCATTGAGAACAAGAGGGAGACGGAGAGACTGAGAGACATGTGTTGTGGAGAGGTGAGTGGGAAAACCTGGAAATCAGAAAGACTGAACAACGAAACAGTTCTTGAAAAACCTGGGGAGGGGGCGAGAGAGTAGGAGGGAGGAATATGAGGGGTTGGGGAGAGTGAACAGCGATAGATGCGAAGGATGTGGGGATTTATAGAAAACTGTGGGAAAGGCAGGTAGGAGGGAATATGGAGGCAAAGAGAGAGGGAGGCAGTGAAATCTGTGGCATCAGACTTAGCAGCAGCCCCCTTTTGCCCCTTTGACTCCCCGACACCCCCAGCCCAGAGCTCATAGCATTGCAGTACAAACCCCAGAGACAGCCTGAACCCCACAATTCTTTTCCCCATGCGTGTGCAAGTGTGTAAATGACCGACAAGGAGACGGGCTGGTTTATTATAATGCTTTCATCTCTCTCTTTCTCTCTGGTTCCAGCTCTTGTCTGAAGATTGCTCACGGCAGAACCATTTGATTCTCTCAGTCTGTGCATCATCCCAAATTTCAGCTCCCGAATCTAATCTCCTCAGGGGCGAGGTTGGAAAGACAGAGAAATAAAAAACAATATCCAGCACCAAAAGCACAGCAAGATCACACCACTCTCTGCCATCCACAATCTGACACTTCTCCGAGGACAGCAAGATCCCACCGCTCGCTGCCTGAACTTCCATTATCTGACACTTTCCCCCACTTCCCCTTCCCCCTCCAGAACAGCCCATCATATTAAACGTGGAACAGGAAGAGGCTCAAACTGCCTCAGTGTTTCTGTTTGAAGGGAGAGAGATATTTACTCCAGAGGCTGGGATTCACCTCCACCCTGCCCGCTATTCCACCCCCCACCCACCAACCATCTCCACTTCCAGAGATTGTGCCTACCTCTTTACGTGTCCAAGCTTCAGTCTCTCAGTAATCTCCTCAGGGGGAAGAGAAGGAAATTGATCACATCAAAGCCAAAGTTTTGAAACAAAAATGAAGAGGAACATATGAGATTCCATCACAGACCGATTTTCAAAATTTTCCCAAATTTTCAGCATTTTCCCCTGATTTTAAACCCAGAGAAGAAGAACAGATTTGATCTGGGATCAAGGGGCAAATGCTTTCTGACTGCCTCCAGTGTTTACTTTCTGAGAGGCCGGGCAATGACTCAATGGTGGGGAGTCACTCCTCCCAGAGCCTGTGTCTCTCCCTTCGTCCCTCCAGCTGGTTTTCCGACATCCTGATGGTAAAATAAAACCCAAAAAAAGACCAATGACCATCCCACTCCCATTCATCAGGCACAGACCCCATGCCCACTACTTCTGGGATTGGTGTTGTTTCTACATGAAATATTAATGATGAACTGATACACTTACCTTTCTCTCTCTCTCTCTCTCTGTCCCAATCTACATCTCTATCTCTGCTCAGCTTTCTCCTGCTTTCAGAAATTGATCAAACTTTCTCTCTCTCTCTCTCCTTATCCACCTCTCCATCTCTGTTCAGCTTTCTGCTGCTCTCGAGAATCAATCTCTTTCTCGCTGTCTGTCTCTGCCCCTATCGCTCTCTCTCTCTTTTACTCCTCTCTCCCTCTATCTTCCTCTCTTCGTCCCTATCGACCTCTCCACCTCTGCTCAGCTTTTCCTGCTCTCGGCAATCAATCGATTTCTATTTCTCTCTCTCTCTCTCTCTCTCTCCCCATTTCCTCTATGTTTTGATTGAAACGTCCTCCCCTGCCTTACGTTTTCAACATGTTGCAATCTCCTCACCATGTCTCGTAGACATTTGCTATATCAATACCACATTTTGGAGGGTGAGGGGGTGACGAGAGGTGGGAGGGATCTGTGCTGAGGGAAAAGGACGGACGATGCACTCCACCCACTATCAAACCATCAGCAATCTCAGCCCAGGGCCCCGTAGACAGGCACACAGCGCATTTGAGGGTGACCCGCAGACCGAGGGGGTGCACAGCAAGATTACACAGTCAGCTGTATCCAGTACCTCCAAGGGATTCCCTCAAAACCTTGTCGGAGCCAACCACCTCCTGCCCCCACAAAAGAGGGGCTGACATTGAAATGAAGGATGTTCTGCACAGCAGGATCCCACGAGCTGTCCCCAGCCTCCCCACACTGAAGGAGACTGAAGGTTTCCATAACCCTCACCGCCCAAGATCAGAAC